CTTTCCAGCCACTCTTCCCCAAGCCTGTAGCGCTGCATGGGGTTGTTGTGGCCGAAGTGCAGGACCCGGCACTTGGCCTTGTTGAATCTCATACAGTTGGCCTCGGCCCATCGATCCAGCCTGTCCAGGTCCCTCTGCAGAGCCTTCCTACCCTCGAGCAGATCAACACTGCCGTCCAACTTGGTGTCGTCTGCAAACTTACTGAAGGTGCACTCGATCCCCTTGTCCAGATCATTGATAAAGATATTGAACAAGACCAGCCCCAAAACTGAGCCCTGGGGAACACCGCTCGTGACCGGCCGCCAACTGGATTGAACTCCATTCCCCACAACTCTCTGGGCCCGGCCGTCCAGCCAGTTTTTGACCCAGCGCAGAGTACACCTGTCTAAGCCGTGAGCCGCCAGCGTCTCTAGGAGAATGCTGTGGGAGACAGTGTCAAAGGCCTTACTGAAGTCCAGGTAGACCACATCCACAGCCTTTCCCTCATCCACTAGGTGGGTCACCTGGTCATAGAAGGAACGTTTGCTTGTTTCCAACTTTTCAGACACAGCAGACTGAGGAGGCTAAGGGACGTTCGAATATAAACAAAAATGCTTAATATATTTCTTAGACAAACACTAAATAATTTTCTAATGTTTTTATTTTATAATTTCATATTGTAGACATTTCCTTACAAAAAAGGAAGTGTTTTATGGAATTCCCAAGGCTCTACTGTATTATATCAGAAATACTTGAGGAAAAAAAACTTAACAGAAAATGTACAAAAGCAGAGAAAATTGAGGGCACATGTGGAAAAGCAATTGCTAAAACTCTGACAGAGAAAGCATTTTTTTTTCCAAGTTTTGGTAGCAAAGGTTTAGCAATTAAGTTCACCAGTGACTAGTCTTTGAAGCATCAGAACTTCATCTAGCCCAAGCCAGACTTTGTGATCTTCACCTTTACAAAGCTCTCAACTAAAGGAAATAAGCAATTTGTTTGGGTAAGATCTGTAAAATGCAATACATAAAACCTGCAATTTTTGCAGATACCATCTAGAGAAATGATGATATCTGCAGTCTGCTTCTCTTTAGGGAAAAAAAAAAAAAAAAAAAAAGCTGGTTTTCCTTTGGAATAGTCTAGTTTATATTCATACATCTGTTTCACAAGAAAATTAGTTACATAAAACGCAATAAAGTGTTTTATTACACATGAAGCAGAATGGTATTTAACTAGCATAGGTATCTACAATCACAATTTTAAATGCTAAAGGAGATGCAAGCTACTGCATCTCTAAAGTAACAGATTGTAGCAGTCTTTGTTAGACATCGCAGGAAGGGTTTACGTTCCTTGAATCTCTTAATATTACTTGTCTTAAGCTTTTACCTTTGATTTTAATTTTACTATAAAGTATAATATAAAGAGCATACATAGTTTCTAAAAGCAGACACAAGTGCATGCCATATTACAGAATGAAAATTTATGTCAAACTTTACTACTGCATTATCAAAGCCATAAATGTTTAGGCAATTTATATGATCTGAGGAGCCAGAGCAACGCACATTTCTACAAAACTAAAACCTACCAGAATATTCTATCTCTGAAAAAAAAGTACAATCGCAAATTTCCTAGACTACAAAATATTAAGTGCTTTACATTTGAACATGGGGGCTTAAAACACCTAACAAAAATACCCATTTTGGTAATTGACTAGGTTAAAAAAAGTAGTTAAAATGTAATAATTAAATTAGTAATTCATTTAATAATATTAAAGAATTTTAATATTATTCTGCCCACTTCCGATAGAACGAAAAAGACACTTAAAAAGACAGTGAAGGTTTTACTTACTATATGACATGAAAAGTAAAAGACTAAAAAGTTTTAATCTGATGCAGATTTTTTATATAAATACAAATGCGTAAGAGGAGTTGTCAAGGGAAGTGAAGGTTTAGGGATAATCAACATGTTACACCATTTTCAACTGTTTATGATGTAGATGGCCACTCGGACCAGGAAACAGAATGACCTTTTTTATTTGCCAAAAGTGCTGCACTGCTGTTTATGTTTTTGTCTTTTCCTCTTGTAACACCTTCTGACCTCCCAACAGGCTTATAAACAACTTCTGTGTAATCTGTAACTGATCCCACTTTACTAATTTGTCTCCCATCATAATCCAAAACTAAAAGACTTGCATACGAGAGCTGAGAGGAAAACAATTATTTCATTCCATTAATATTTTCAAGCTTTCAAGCTTTCCTGTTCTGCACCAGGACAAAAGCTAAGTCCTTTTAAAAACACTGAGGAAAAACAGCAAAAGACTGCTGACACAAGGAAAAATGGCAGAGGCAAACCCATGAAAAGTCAATAGCTTCATGTTTACAGCAGTTACCTGAACCGATTAACCTCCTGGTCTTAACCAGGCAGAATAGTTGAGTCGGGATGACCCCAACATATAGGCTCAACTGTTACAACTATTACCAACATGCCCCAAATCTTAAAATAGTGGCTGAAGCAGTGGCTATGCTCTTCCCCATTTCCACCACCGCTGAGCTGAATTTTCATCCCAGAACCGACACATATTCTAAGCCAAGGCCTTTTTAACCAAAACTGTCTTGCAGAAATTGATTGGGGCGTTTGAATTTACCAACAAAAATGGTTTTGCATAACTTTCCTAAAAAGTGATCATCCAGACAACTAGCTAGTCATTTCAAAAGGAGCCCATGCCATGGACCTTACATCTAAAATACACAAATTGTTTCCAACCCCAAGCATTAAAGAGCTTATTTGTGGAGCATATGTGTAGCTTCTCCGATACAGTAAGAAGTCAGATGAGGGGGGGTTTTTTTGGTGAATTTTAGAAGTCTCATCATCTGTCTTTTTCACTGGTAACTGGTGTTAGGTTAAATTACATTATAAACGACACGTGTAGTTATTTTTTCCAGAACAAGGAAACTAAGACCGCAATTCTTATCTAGTCACATCTCTAGGAGCTAGAGATAGCAGAATACAAAATCATTGAGCATCATGACTCAAAAGTGTTCAGACAACAGCCAAAAGTGGTGCAAAGGAAAACTGCACAGATGTGGCAAGCGCACTTGCTTTGGTGTAAAAACTGTAGTGGATCTTCATCCTGATAACTCAGCCAGAGCCTTACCATTCAGAAGGTAGGTCTGAAAACACTTATACCCCAAATATCCTAACATACAAGAAAAAAGAAGAAAAACTACTTGCTCTGAAATTCAGCTTCCTAGACAGTGAAGACATCAAATCGATGGCTCACAGCTTACGTGCTTATAATCACTGGAAAAGGGACTACTTCTGGTTACATGTACCTTACAGCATTTTCAAAAATACAGTGCTGATCTTCAGCTGAAGGTGAAAAATATAAACAGCTGACCTTAACTCTCACAGTGCTACAGCTGCTAGAACTGTGAGTACTGAAGCAGTTCACAAGATAAATCAAATATTCCCCTGCCACTTTGCTGTAATTTAAGAGGCTAATCTCTTTATTCTTTTTGGCATCTGTTCGAAGACTCCTGCTGCCTGCCTAATCTTGGTATCTATTTTTACCAGTTTTATGAAATGTTACATTTCTTCCTTTTGAATATAAAACCTAGGCTAGGCTGAAAGGTCAGAAGAGTTCTGTTCTAGTAATGAGTGTTAGAGAAAGCCTCATATGCATATCATTTTACTGGAGAATGAAGATATTTTTAAAAAAGAAGTTATAGTCCTAATAAATGCTTCCTCTCCCCTCATCTTTCATATACATCATGAAGAAATTGTTCCCTCTGCAGACTGACACAGCAATTTATTGTGTTTATTTTAAACTAAGCAAATCCTTTCCTTAATCTTCATTTTACTGAATAGCCTATCTCCATCCTTAAAATTACTTATGAATGTACATCGTTCACTTAAGTATTTTTAGTAAAAAGTAATAAAAATAGATCAACTTATTTCATTAATTTTCTTTCTGTAATCTTTATTGCCATTTTTCTTCATTGACTTTATTCTTTCCCAAATTAAAAATCAAGTGTGCATGTAAATTTGAAGTTCCTAGTTTTACAGTAAGTATTTTCATCTTGTTTAGTCAGAGAATTGATTTCTAGGGAAATGATGTGGAAAGCAAAGGAATGATTTCATGAGCACAGCTGCATGTGTGAGGGCTTGAAAGGTAGGGTTCTGCATTGCCAGTCAAGCCTGAAAGCAAAACATTTCATTGTATGATGCTTACTTAATAGGTGGTAAAAAGAATTTTCACTTTTTAGTTAGTTCAAGGGAGCAAGTGTGCAACCACGAAGTACAACAGTTAGAAACCATACACTGAAAGCTCGAACAACAATAATCTTCTCACCTGTTAAAACAGTTACTATGACACTAGAAGGAGATGGTGTAGCCAGTACATTCCCTTTGCCCGTGCCACACTCTCCACCCAAGAAAGAAAAGGATTTCCCTTTCCAAGGCCAAAACCTGGCATCCTTTAGAAGCACTTACAGATGACTGACATGAAATTTTTTGTTGTGGAAAAATTATACTCCCAAATTTACATAAAATTTATAAAATCGTTACCAGTAAGAAAAATCTACATGAGATTTTTATGGACTTCTCCAATTTCTTATTACGTGTTTCAGTTCCTACTAAATTGCTTCTCCCTTTGGGAACAAATTTGCAGTACCCCAGCATTTATCCCAAAGAGTCTATAGTGTCTATAAAAGCTAGTCGTCTTACCATTCACATACAAAATGGATACTGGCTATAACAGGAATATTTTATGTAAGACATTCACAGTCATTCACTGTTTGAGAATATTTTAATCTCATTAGAACTAAATAGAGTGCTATTTTAAGGCAACTTCAAAGTAACAATTCCAGCTGAAGTGAAATTTAGATGATAGACCTCAAGGAAATTGTATGTAACATTCAAAAACATCAATTAACATCTACAATAGCAATATGAGACTGGACCAGTGGCCCATGTAAATTAATACCCAGCCTCTCTAAGTAGTGAAAAACTACATGTTTTGGAGAAGGGTGAAACAGTTCTATTCTCAGTCCGTCTGCTTATACTGTCCTTTCAGTGGGGTGAAGCTTCAGAGTCAACAACTTTCTCTACAACCAATGATACTTGACCATTGTTAAATCAGCATTTTAACTCGCAGAGATGCTTAATAAAAGTATCTGCATCTGCTTTAGCCTATCCCTAGTATCCCTCTTCATAGCTTCCTGTGGAAATTAATTTTCACTTATGCATTACACATCACATGAGTTAGCTTACCAAACCAGATTGATCATCTTTTACAATACCTTATCGTCAGTCTTTTATTTTTATAAATAAAAAAAAATATTTTTACTAAATTTAATTTCTATACTATTACCATATCTTTACCAGTCATTAAATACAGAGGTTAGTAAAAACAAACAAAAAACAGGCTTTGAGGTGCAAGGAATTGCATATAGCAGTACAAATTAAAGTTGCTGTTTTCAGTTAAATTCCGTTCACATGACATACTTTAACAAGCAATCCCTAATCCAACTCTTTTTCTTCTTTCTTTTATCTTTCCTAAAAATCTCCAGTTGAATGTCTTACGATTCTCTGATGTTGAACAAAGACTCTAGATACAACCTTAAAATACCGTATCTGTGCTGGATTTCCAATGTGTTACAGTCTATTGAAACACTGATGTGTTTAATACTTGCAGGTCTAAGGACTTGCTTTCCCTTCAAAAGTCTGATGCCTTTGAACAATATATATGCCACTGCTTGCATTGTAAATACCCTGCTTGATTTAGATAAATATGTGTGTGTCTGTAACATAGGTACAATACACATACACAGAAATACATGCATACCCTAAAAGAGCCAACTATATTGAAAACTTAGTAAGGAGCACACTTTACTTCCTAAAATGACACAAAACACTGCCACAGGACAGGAAACTCTGGCTTCTCTGAAGTCATACTTTTTCAATCAATTTCGAGGATGTCTAACAGTTCAAAGAACTCAAATCTGCTAACTGCTAACACTGATAAGACAACCTCCCATAGAAGAGGATGAAAGAGACATACAGCTTCAGTGTCATTCAGTCATGATTTGGGGCATTTATAGGCACATTTTGAGAAGCAGCAGTAATAAGTTAGGTAAGAAGGAAGACCACTAAGAGATTTTTTTAAACAAAGGAGGAAACATCCAAATTCATAATGAAATGCTTAGGTGTAGGTGGTGGTTTGGTTTTGTGTGTGGTTTTTGGTTTTTTGTTTTTCTAATTAATCTGTACAGATGAAATATCCTATCAAAGTGTAAGAAGCCAAATTTTGGCTCCACTACTGTAAATGGGAAGATGCAACTTCACTTAATTGATGAAAGATCTAGAATACAGATTAGCAGTTAATGTAGTTTAATACTCAAGTTGTAAGTTCACAAAGATGTGAAATAGTTCTGAAGACGACTCAGAACTTCAGTATCTTGGCTGAAAGTGGTAAAAAAAACCCCCAAAACAACTTCCAAATGAGAGCGCCTAGAGCATTAACTGTGAACTCTCCAAACAGGAATATTTGTACAAGAAATTTAAGATTTTTCTTAAAGTTAGTATCGGTACTAACATGCAATTTAAGTAGATACTGATTTCAGTTTGACTTTCATTATACTGTTTTAAACCAGCTTAGCTCCACTGACTTCACACATGTACGTTTTAAGTTCTGCTAGTTTCAGAAAAGCAGAATTAGATGCAACAGTTTTAAATCCCTTCTCAAGAAAAATGGTCCTAAATAGTCACATATTCACAAGATTTTCTTGTTATTTTATCCTCTATGTCTCCCAAACATCACTCCAAAATTCCCTCTAAATTTTCAAAAGATTTTTTTTCCATCAGCATCTCCCCAGTATATTGGCACCCGCAGTAATACCTTTTATCTTTGACACTGCAGTGAACATCATACACTAGAATTCTATTTAACTCAGTCACTTTCTGTTTTAATCTAGGAGGAGTTTGGCTGAACAAGTCACCTATAAACTTGAATTTTATTGTGCCAGGATGCATTTATTGGGTATTCTAAAACTGAGTTCAGTGAACTGCCTATTACATGTCAATCCTTTCAAATGTTTGACAATAACTTGGTAAAGTCAAAGATGATTTATGAATATTTGGAAACATCTATAGTCGTTACTTTTTTGTTCTAGAATGTAAGATATTCATTGCAGTCTGTATATACAACAATATAGCTTCAAGATTTAACTTTCAGAGAATAATAATTCTACACCTAGATTTAATTTTGGGGTCAGACCATCTGCAAAGGTATTGGACAATGCCAGTGGAAATAAAAACATATTTCAGATTGCTCACTGCCTGAATTTAACTCTGACAAACCATGGGAAATTTGAATGGATCTCTCACAAAAAAGCTGGAGAAATGAAAATGTCTTTCAGAAGAAGTATTTCATCAGGAAACTCACAAAAATATCAGTGCAAGAGGGAAGTACAGAATCAGAAGCTACATTCATTTTTTTCTTCCTTTAACACCAGCTATCAGCTATTTTTAAGGTGTCATTTGTATTCTGTTAAGTGTGATACATACTGAGGAATCACATTTGTTTGTGGACAACCACAACTGATTTGTATGAAAGCTATGGAAAATAACATTTTTAGGTTAATACACATTTTGCACTTGTACACTTTAAAACATACAACTATATAGAATTATGCAAAGTACATGCTTTGTATTTTTGTTTCCCCATGACTGCATGCGCTTACGCTGTTACATGCTTACTCTGGTAGGCCTACTGTGACATGGAGACTGGTGGAGGAGGTTGGACCATCATTCAGAGACGTGAAGATGGCAGTGTGGACTTTCACCGGACGTGGAAAGAGTACAAGATGGTAAACAATGTTTTCTGAAGCCTTAATATTAGTTATTATTATCTGAAATCTGATATAATAAAGTTATATTAATAGCATCCTTAGAACGTAAGCAGGTTTTAGAAGTTGTCTTTGTCCTTAAGATGTTCATTTACGAAATGTCAGAGTAGTGTAAGTTGTTCGCCTAAGCAGACTTGCAAGTGTGATGTTTGTTTTTAAAGAGAAACCTCACTTTTCTTTAATCAACTGTTCCATGGTATGTCCACATTTTTTGAGTTATTTATATTTGTGTTTCTAGTGGCAACAGTAGAAACTGCTCCAAATCTACTAAGTAATATTGATTCACTATTTCAGATTCCTGAGTTTGTCTTTGCTGAAATCAACTTTTTGAAATATTACAGATCTATAACCCTCACAGACACAGTGAAATTCTTAGTTGACAGATTGAAAACTATTAAACTTAAAAACTGATGAAGTGATCATTTCAAACTCAAAGAAAAACCAAAACAAAGCTATTTAAATATACAACTTGAATTACAGGGATTTGGTGATCCTGCTGGGGAGTACTGGCTGGGAAATGAGTTTGTTTCTCAACTGACTAATCAGAAGCGTTACGTTCTTAAAATACACCTGAAAGACTGGGAAGGAAATGAGGCGTATTCATTGTATGAACACTTCTCTCTAGCAAGTGAAGAACAAAAATACAGGTAAGCAGAAAAATCAGATCTGAATAAAAAAAGATCTGATAATAATCATTCTAGACTGTGTAGATGAATGACCTTATTTCATACAAATTATGATGTTTTTTCAGTTCATTCAGAAAACTATGTTTGCTCCATTTTTCACCTATTGCTTAAAACAGTCTTAATAATCAATTTTTTCCCAATGGAGACAATGTATATTTTAATAGCGCACACTGGGTGAGTGTAACACACAGGATGCACAAAGATGACGAGATGGTATGGTATGGTATGGTATACGCTTGCCGATACAGCAGATGGCAATGCACAATATTCAGGGCAATAGGAACCTGTCTGCAGTTGCTATCAAATCCTGATTCTAGGCAATAAATACATTTCTGGAGGGTGGATGACTAAAATGAACAGTACTGCAAGAAGATTTTCTACTTAAGTCAGTGGCTAGTAGGAGCTGTTCTGTCATCATGAAGAGCACACTGAGGTAATGCTACCTTCTCCTTCTGTGACCCACTGGCTTGGATTTTCAAAGAATAACGCTCCTACCTGTGAAAATGAAGCTAACAGCAAATGTCCAGTGTCATGCCCTACAAACTTGTCAATTTAAACACCAGACTTCAATGGACCTATTACTTATGCTCCCATCGTTCTGTAAAATGTAAAGCTTCACAATTTCTTCTTACATATTTGGTTAAAATAGGAAATAACATAAATTTTAAATAAATACTTTATATATAAATAAATATTATCATAGCATTATACATTTTAAATAGTATCATAGTGGTATATGTTTTGAAACAGTATCAGCCGCAGCTGAAATATATGGGCAGTTCATACTTCATTCTCCAGGCTTTCTGTAAATGCAGTAGATATTGTTTGACTGGTTATAGAAGAAACTAGAGACTCTACAGTATAACAGATGCTTTCCTACTACGTGGTCCAGGAAATGTTTCTTTATAAAAATCTTACAGATTCAGGGAGCTGAGGTGACTGGACAGAAAAATTGCCTAAATTTAGATTAATTTCTCCAGGATTTCTAGCAACTATTTGTTGTAAACAAAGTCAGTCTGACACTCGAGAGAACTGATGCTGTTACTTCAACTCAAGTCTTATATGCAAAGCAATCCAAAACTATCAGAATCTCCCTCCCCCAAAACGTTAGATCTTAATGCCTTAGTAGTATACAGTTGTCTCAACTCCAAAGCAAATATTTTTTCATTTGGAAACAGTCAGAATCTACAGCAGAGATTTTTTTAAAGTAATGGTTTAAAATACTTATAAAGGCAACCTTTGCAAAATGGGTCATTACCCTTGTCCACTTACAATATTAAAAAATAATTACTGAAAACTAAGATGGTTGTCTGTAAATGGATAGTGTATTTAATATATTTTAAAATGCAACCAAACATGGAATGCATCGTAGAATGCAGTAGATTAAAGAATATATTTAACATTATGAAGAAAAAAAAAATAAGTATTCAGTTAAGAGCAACTTTCATTACATTAAAAACATTAATACATTTTGAATGCTGGAAAGATGAGTTGGGTCATAAAACTGAAATTTCATAGATTCATAGAAAAATTGAGATCAGAATGGACTTCATTTGAGTCAAACTTCCTGACTTCAAAGCTGTGAGGTCAGGCCACGTTGCTCAGGGCTTTATGCAGTTGGGTCTTGATAACATCCAAAGGTGGAGACTGCACAACCTGTTGCATTGCTTGTCTGTCCTCATGGTGAAAAAGGCTTTCCTGATATCCAGTCAGAACCTCTTATTTCAGTTTACATCCACTGCCTCGCATCTTCTGTTATACTAAGCCGTACTTTTAAAAATTGAATAATAATAGTAAATGAATAATACTCTGCTTACATTAGACTTCAAATTATATTTGAAAATAAAGCCTAGGTTCATACATTATACTTGGAACCTTTAATACCATTTATATTAGAAATTGGCTTACAGAATTTTGAACTCACCTTAAGAAAAACCAGAATATTTAACTTTTTGAAAGAGATTTTTGAGAAAATCTGTAATGAGCTGATCTTTTGAAACCTAATTTATCCTTAATATTTTCAAATAGGGAATATAAAATGGGTTAAAATAATCTGTTAAACTACCAAAGACAACTTCTATCATAAGCAGAGAATTACATGCAAGATGAAGACTGGTCTGGGGACAAGTTAGTTCTCCTCAGAGTTAGATCATCTCCTTAAACAAACAGAATACCTCTGAGAAGGATGAGCTATTTGATACAGAAATGCAATCACCAAAGAGATACTGTTGGAGCAGAGGTTTCAAGTCCTTCCAATTCAGTATAACACGGTAATAGCTGTGTAATGGCCTCCCCAGTTCGGTGCCCTGTGTCTCTCCCCACTGAGACTGCATCTGCACCTGTGTAAGCAGATTGAAACAGTAGCAGCCTCACTGAAAGATTGCCTTGCCAGGGAATTGAAGCAAACTTAAATACGCCTGTTCTGTTTAATATCTTTATCAATGATCTGGATGAGGAGATCAAGTGCACCCTCAGTAAGTTTGCAGATGACACCAAGTTGGGCGGCAGTGTTGATCTGCTCGAGGGTAGGAAGGCTTTGCAGAGGGACCTGGACAGGCTGGATCGATGGGCCGAGGCCAACTGGATGAGATTCAACAAGGCCAAGTGCCGGGTCCTGCACTTCGGCCACAACAACCCCATGCAGCGCTACAGGCTTGGGGAAGAGTGGCTGGGAAGCTGCCTGGCGGAAAAGGACCTGGATGGCATCCTGGCCTGTATCAGAAATAGTGTGGCCAGCAGGACTAAGGAAGTGATTGTCCCCTGTACTTGGCCCTGGTGAGGCCGCACCTTGAATACTGTGTTCAGTTTTGGGCCCCTCACTACAAGGAGGACAGTGAGGTGTTGGAGCGTGTCCAGAGAAGGGCAACGAGGCTGGTGAGGGGTCTGGAGAACAAGTCTTCTGAGGAGCGGCTGAGGGAACTGGGGTTGTTTAGCCTGGAGAAAAGGAGGCTGAGGGGAGACCTCATTGCTCTCTACACCTACCTGAAAGGAGGTTGTAGCGAGGTGGGTGTCGGTCTCTTCTCCCAAGTAACAAGCGATAGGAAGAGGAAATGGCCTCAAGTTGTACCAGGGGAGGTTTAGGTTGGACATGAGGAAAAATTTCTTCACCGAAGGGTTGTCCAAAGCATTGGAACGGGCTGCCCAGGGAACTGGTTGAGTCACCATCCCTGGAGGTATTTAAAAGACGTGTAGATGTGGTGCTTAGGGACATGTTTTAGTGGTGGATTTGGCAGTGCTAGGTTAACGGTTGGACTTGATGATCTTAAGGGTCTTTTCCAACCTAAATGATTCTATGATTTAACACTAATAAATCTATGAAGGATGTGAAAAGCAAAAGTAATTAAGAAAGCGGAAAGGGAAATACTGAGAAACTCCTAAAATACCAGTTATTAGTTGGTAATGAGTAGTCCAGGTAATGCTATTATCTCTCATAGATGCAAAGTTGTAATGCTACATTGCCATGTTGTGCTAACAGCAAAGTAGGAATCAAAAAAGTTTTGGTTTAAACTTTTGAACTTGATTAAAAAAAAAATAATTGCGCACAACGTACTTACAGTATTAAGAAATGCATGATATATATGAAAAATTCCAGGAGTTATTATCTACCTCTTCTCATTTTCTTCTAATATGACATGAACAAAACAGTCATCTCTACAAATGTGGAGGCTGTTCATTAGAATATTGTGCTGACCATTTCCGCTCATATGCAAACATTGTGCTGCAAAACAGCTTACAACAGTACATTGGCTAGAAGAGAACCGAACTATTTGAACAGGATATTTATTGCAAACTGTTCCATCATTATTTTGCAGATCAACTACCATTAAATTCCACGTAATAATTGTTTTTCCATTCCTCACTTCTACAGGATCTACCTTAAAGGACTCACTGGGACAGCGGGCAAAATAAGTAGTATAAGCCAACCAGGAAATGATTTTAGCACAAAGGATGCAGACAATGACAAATGTATTTGCAAATGTTCACAAATGCTAACAGGAGGTAGGAATGTTTTTTTGTTTCTCAGTCTTCCTATTTTTATTGGCACTGAAATTGTCTGTGAGATAAATAGTGATAATTTTGACAGTAAATTTTGACTATTGAAGAAGTCCAAAACTCACAGATAGAAACGCTAGTACGGTGACTCCAAATGTAATTTTTTATCATTGGACAAAGGTTAAAGTAAAACAAGAAAAGTTAAAACTGGAGAAAAAACCCCCAGTCTCTCGAGTTGGGGTATAAGAAAGCCTGTAATTGTGGAACTAACCAGAGCGACAGCAGATTTCTTCCAAGGAAGGAGATAACATAGTCCCAGAGATCAAAACACTTAAGCCCCCCAAAAAACTTGCTTTAGAGATTCAGCTGGTCAGTGAAATGGCTCCTGATTCTTTAGGCACAAACCCATTCCCTAACAATCCAGAGAGGAGAAACCTCCAAAAGCTGCTGTATCCTGTACATGCCGCAGAAGGGTACAAATACTTAATTCCATATTTCAATATAATTACGAAATGGCAATGTATAAATTTAAGATACATCACATATATGAGATATCTACATTTTTCTAATGATTGTTCACTAGTTATTGGAGTTTTAGGTGGTATTTTTATCTTGAACCATACAAACCATTCTATAATTTGTCAGTCTAGAATTCCAGGTTCTGAAATGTAAACACATGCTTTGTAAATTCGACTTCTCTTCCTATAATTTCTTAAGCAATGGTTTGTTTCCCTATAGCACAAGTTGTAAGACAAAAGACAGCTTCAGTTTATCCAAAAGGATAATTGGATTACTGCCCTGCAAAACAGAACACACACATTATCGCCATCATAACAGAAGTATAAAAATATTATCTTATTAATAAAAATAAATTTTCCTTATGACCCTCTAACAGGTCAGGACCACGAGGATACAAAATAAGTTTCGGCTGCTTTTTTCTCCTTTTCCTTCTTACCAAGTTTCAGCACAGAGGTTTTGAACTAATCTGCACAGAGAACTGAAACAGATAACTGAATTAATCCTCTAAAAACAATTAAGAAAGGAGTTTAAATCTGTGAAGAACAGGAATTTACCAAAGAGTAGATAAAAACCAAAGAAGACTCAATATCATTATAGTTCAAGTCAAGTTCTACCGACTGTCAACAATAATGTTTGATATCGATAATAAATTAAGCTTGATTGAAAGCCTTCCCTTCTCAATTTTAAACTACTGTGTATTACATAAGCTTCAAGAATATATAGTGAATACGTAAATACATTTCCTTGCTGAGTTTGAGGTATGTATTTTATACCAACACTTCCAAATCATAAGAATGAAAACCTGGTTTTGGATTTCTTTTTCATTTCAGGACAACAAAGTGTCCTTATATACTACTATGAAAATTACCTGGGCTGACATTTTCATCTGCTGATGTTTTTCTTTGTTTTCTGTCTTACAGGATGGTGGTTTGATGCATGTGGTCCTTCTAACCTCAATGGAATGTATTATCCATTACGACAGAACAACAACAAGTTCAACGGTATCAAGTGGTACTACTGGAAAGGCTCGGGATACTCTCTCAAAGCCACGACTATGATGATTCGACCGGCAGATTTCTAAATGCTTTTGCATTATGTGAATTATGTATTGTATAGTCTTCAAAGACTTCATTTGCTGAGCATATAAACACACATCTGCAACTTGTCTCATTTTCAAGCCCAGAAATCATGCGCTAGTGTTCTGAAGGGATCAGTTCAGTACAATTTCTGAATTGCAATAGCCTTGATCAGCTAAAGCTCATATTATTCAACCAGACACAAAGTTAAAGCATCAACCTGGTATAACAGTGATTTGGCCAAACGACTGAATAAAAAGAACATCCAAGAAACTGTCAGACAACTTAAGGACTGTTTTACTGATCATTTATGTTACATATGTGTTAGTAAATAACTGGAACTGTGAAAAATACCTAAAATAGTTTTAGAAATATGCATTTTGCCTCATCACTGAACTTTAAACATTACTCTAATATAAAACACTTAACTAGATCTAGAACTATTTATCTCTCTGTGTCATGTTTGACTTTTATGTACATAAAAAAAATACTGTCCTGTAATTAGCTCAATATTGCAGTTAAAGAATACAGTCTTTCCCCCCATAGTCTCCTAAACAACTTCTTACACTTGTTCAGGGATTTTTTCCAATAGCCTGTATTACTTTATTTAACAGAGGACAAATAGCATTTAATTACTTTGCATTTATTCTTGGGAAATACCGTGTACAAAGATCACCATTTCTTTCAGTTTGTACTTATTACAGTAACTATCTTTAAGTTACAAAAACCCCTGCAAATTACAATATAGTATGTGTTTGTTTATGTTTTTATGAAGATTGCACTTTTTTCCTTTCCTTGTCATTTACCTGTAAAATAACTGATCAGTATTTTATAAACTGAGACAACGGCATTAACACCAAATGTCCGGTTGTCTATGACAATCAGTTATCACCTGGTGCTGTAGTACATCTATACGTTTTGTAAAAATAACCTAACTGAAAAACATATGCATGCTCTTTGATACAATTAAATTTATGCTCATGAGTTAAGATACAAATTACTACATTTTAAAAACAGGAAAAAAACATCTGAAAGTTATCTAAGGTCATACTGTTGGGTTTTTTTCAGTAAGGTTAGGGCTTCTCCCTAGAAATTCTCTGTAGGTGGGCCCTCAATGTATGACGCAATGTGAATAAATTACTCTACTGGGTGATTTTTGCTTTTTTAATTTTTTTATTACTATATGTTTTAAAATCGTGTACTGTACACTGTAGTTCAGATTGAGAAGATTTCTTCATAAATCACACAAAATAATTCTGTGCAGATTTTTCCCCAAATTAACTTTAGTTTTAAATTCTCATGCTTAGTCTTTGCTTTAAAATAATAATTTTGTAAATTTTTAATTTCAGCAGATGACTGAATTAGTTACAAGACAAGAACATATCTCATACCAAAACAAAACCCCCAGACACAACATTTCTGGAGGCTTACTTAAAAAAAGGTATTGTAGCTTAAAAACAGTAAACGATTTTGAGAAAGATGGAAGAAAACTCTTGTCATGGTTTAACCTCAGCCGGCAACTGAGGACCACACAGCCGCTCGCTCACTCCCCGCCCCTGCCCCGGTGGGATGGGGGAGAGAATTGGATGAGTAGAAGTGAGAAAACTCATGGGTTGAGATAAGAACAGCTTAATGATTGAAATTAAATAAAGTAAAATAGTAATAATAAATAACAACAACAACAACAATAGTAATAACAATAATAATAACAATAGAAGGATATACAAAGCAAGTAATGCACAATGCAATTGCTCACCACCTGCCAACCGATGCCCAGGCCAGCTCCCCCCAGTTTATATACTGAGCATGACATCACATGGTATGGAATATCCCTTTGGCCAGTTTGGGTCAGCTGTCCTGGCTGTGCCCCCTCCCAGCTTCTCGCTGGCAGGGCATGGGAAGCTGAAAAGCCCTTGACTAGTGTAAGCACAATTTCACAACAGCTAAAACATTGGTGTGTTATGAACATTATTCTCATCCTAAATCAAAAACACAGCACTGTACCAGCTACTAGGAAGAAAATTAACTCTATCCCAGACGAAATCAGGACAACTCTTCATTTCATACTGACAGTCATTAAAGCTGCTGTCAGAGTACCCCACCACTCACACCACCACCATTCCTCACTGAAAATGTGTCAGCATTACTAAAGGGTAGCAGAGACAAAAAATACTTCTAATATTACTTCTTGATCTGATTTTAAATAAACCTAATGAATGTAAACTAACAGTCATCATCTGAAGAGTTGCATAAAAAAATCTGAATGTATTTAAGATTACTGTTCAAGTATTTTATTGTTTCTCCTAGCAAACTTGTAAGGATAAACATATCCCAAACTAAAAGAAAAATACTTCACAAAATTGCTTTCATGAATTTCTAAGAAATGTCTTAAAGAGCAAGTCTAGCAGAGGGCCACCAAACTAGTAAAGGAGCTAGACATACCAAGAAACACATGACATACCAGGAGAGGCTGAAAGAGCTGGCCTTTTTCAGCCTGGAGAAGAGGAGGGGAAGGGGAGACCTTACTGCTGTCTACAACTGCCTGATCGAAGACACAGAGAAGACAGAGCCAGACCCTTCTTGGTGGTGCACTGCAATGGGACAAGAGACAGGGACAAGAGGCAGCAAACACAAGTTGGAATTGGAGAAATCAGATTTTCTTTTTAATTTATTCATTTATTACCATGAGGGTGGACTGGACAAGTCCCTTGGATCAGAGTGTTGAACTAGACAACCTTGAAGGGTCTCTTCTAATCTAAAATATTTTATGGTTCTGTGAAATTTAATAGAAATGCTGAGCCTAGATTACTGTATTTCCTGCTTCTCTGCATTTAGTCAGACAACTAAAGAAAACACTCCCAATATTTGAGATAGTAAGCATAACCAGCGCAATAATCTAAAAAACAAAAAGAAAAAAGCTTCTTAAAAACCACGGTGGAATCTCGCACAGTATGAATGCTCAACCTGGCAAAGGAAAATAGTGCTAACTTCTGGTTTACGTTAACCTTCATTATTTTAGTAAGAAAATGCTATATGACAAGAATAATTAAATATTGCATGGCTAGTTTTCATTTGCTGGAAAAAAGTCTTTATAAAGCTTAAGGCTTTTTGATGACTATTCTGGGAAAGTGATCGAAGATATTGATGTAGACATTGAATGGATCAATTGTTTAATGAGACTTTTTCATTTTTGGGGAAAATGGAGTAATTTATCAACATGAATGTAAAATTTTAGGGTGAATATGTTTTTAAATGACATTTTATCTAAATGAGATGCATGGCTTAAACTGCAAACATCAAAGTTAAGTGAGAGGAGGACATTTTCGAAGGAATGCAATAATAGGAAAAAGAAGGCTGCAACAACTGCTTTGGACTTGGTACAAACAATTAAAACATAACAGCAAGACAACCCCTTCTTTTAATTCCTACCTCTAATCAAATAAATGGTATATAAAACTAGAATGCACTTCCATTTTCTTGAAATATTTCTTAGGAAGCAGAAGAGAAATAACAAGAAAAGAAAGGGAATGTAAACACCATTCTTGCTGAAGTAATAATCGTATCTTTAAAAATAAGAGATCTGATTAAGAAACCAGAATGACTCAAGAAGGGAATGATTGGAAAGGTGATGGAAATATCACCTTGGACACTGACTTTGTTCCTCTGCAAGAGGAGCACACTGCAAACAGAAGCAACTCAGGTTCTCAGCACAACCATAATCTCCCTCAATTTTATCTTCTCACCATCTCTCAAGCCCTCCTCACTTCTGCTTTAGTAATAAAAACTGTAAACAGTTTAAAAAACAATC